GGGGAAGGTAAGTGAGACGGCTTGCTTGCCAGAATTAACAACATGGTCATCGTGTTTGCCTTCAATTTTAAGAAATTTTGAAGGCATAACAGATAGCCACGTTTTCATTTTATACACTACCACTACTGGCTTACAAGCAGAACATGTCATGTCAATTAGGCATATTGGAATTCCTCGCGACAACCGTCTTCCCCCGAATAAACGCACGGGAATTATTGCCGTATCTGGACTGAATATTGCCCAAAATTCAGCTCTAATTACGCGTTCTATTCCTGGGAAGACGGTACTGACTGAGGTATTGTTTCAAAAGGACAACAAAGAGGACAACGACCACAACGTTGTCCTTCTGAAACACCACTTCTACCATTACTACTACTACCACTACGACGACGATGACTATGTAGTAGTAGTGTGACGATGACTATGTAGTAGTAGTGTGTAGTCGTGGTAGCGTGGCCAATCAAAAGCGTCCTAAACCCGGCCCAGGGTAACGTTGAGGGGGAGAAGAAGGCGGTTGATACCCCCCTTGCGGCGGAGGATAGGTGGAGAGAGATCCCGCGGGTGGCGGTATTCCATAGTAGCTCGGGGGCTGTTGTTGATAAGCGAAAGACTGAGAGTGGGGCAAGCTAGCAGTAGTAGGGTAGGGATCGTACGGTCCGGACCCGGACTGCCCACCTGGACCCGGGTACGATGCTCCCGGAGGACGAAAGGACACCCCGCCGCCATATCCCAACGAGGAAGAAGAGGGGTTGAGTGGAGGAGGGGCTCTGACCGTAACGTGGACATCGAACGAGGGAGCAGAAGGAAACCCAGGCTGAGCAACACCCCCTCCGAATGCATATGAGGAGGCACGCTGGAGACCGCTCGTGTATGGATCCGTGCTAGGCGGGACAGAGGGGGGCATTTGACCGTACAGTGATGAAGGACGCGTTGCCGCCGCCGCCACCCCATTATAGCCGCCGTACACTTGCCCCGCATGATTCCCCATCGTCATAGCACGCGCCGCCGCCGCCGCCGCCGTCGGGGTAGTCGAGTTCCAAGCATCCCCCCCACCTGCGCAGGGGTAAGCTGGTCCTGCTGAAAGAGAAGGAGAAGGAGGAAATCCCAACCCCGGCGCAGGCGAGCCGAATTTGTTGCCAGCTGTGGCTCCTGGTTTCTTCTGCCCTTCCAGTTGACTGACGCGCAGAATGAGTCTGATGTATCCAGCTCCTTTGCCCCTGGCATCTTGCAGGGGAAAAGAGTTATCTTCATGACCGGAGGCCATAGCTGTCGCCAAGGAGATCGTCGCTTGTCCGATGAAGTCATCTCTCGTGAAGGTGTTGGAATTCATAACGACGCAGTGCAAGTCCTGCACACCCGGCTCCAGTGTGAACGGGAACCGTTCGTTGAAGCTGGGATTGCGACCGCCATCGGTATCTGTTTTGGTCGTGCAGGTGGTACATCCATACTTGATGCGGACGTACGGATCTTGCCTGCTCAGCAGCTCGGTATCTTTTAGACGCGTGCATCCGATCACTGATACCTCCAGCTTAGCCATCTGTGGGGCTAAGAATCTCTCTCTCTCTCTCTCTCTCTCTCTCTCTCTCTCTCTCTCTCTCTCTCTCTCTCTCTCTCTCTCTTCGCCGCTCGCGCAGATGGCAATAATCGGCTGCACTGGATATCTCTGTCTCTGAATCTGATTCTGATGCAATCCGCTGCTGCTGCTGCTGCAATCTTTAATCGGCTGCGACGATGTGTAATTACTACCGTAATTTCTTTTCGTCCGCTGCCGCTGAAATATAACTATGGTAGCTTTGCGAGACCGAGGGAAAGCTGTTGCTTGGCTTCCGATTGCGGCGGTGAGTCTGTCCACTTCACACGTACGCTCTTGCTCCTGCTGTTTCTTCGCTTCTCGTTGCGGGCATATGATTGATAGTAGTCAATCCGACAGCAATTATAACAATCAAGAGTTACTCAGCAGTAGAATTCATCCCATGTAGTCTCTGACGAAGAAGGAAAAGGAAAGACGGAGAAGCGGTAAAGAGCGGGAGAGAAGAGACAACAAGATATATATATACGTTGTTACTCAACAGGCAAGGCCCGTACGTTCAGCTCTCGTTGCGGCGGTGAGTCTCTGTCGACTTCAGTCTTCCGCTGTTGATGCAGCTGTTACTCCCGTTCGCCTGCCCGCCGTAAGGGGGTCTATTTTTCACTCTTCTCGTTCAACACTCCATGTGGCGTGAGGTCTATTTTTCACTCTTTTCACTTCTAGTTCAACACTCCGCGTGGCGGCGCCGCCTCTTTATATGACTGCTAAACTAAATAGTAGTAGTACCAAAAAAAAAATAATAATAAAACTACACCTTCGCGACCTACCAACCACTACTCCGACGACACACCACGCGATGGTCTCAATAGCGTCCCCGCGTTGTAGTCACGTACACGTCAGTTGTTCCGTTAGTGCTGGAGGCCCTGGCTCCGCCACTTGTCGAGTGTGCCAATCGTCTGCTACCCTTCTAACCCCGAATAGAACGCACGGTAATTATAGCTGTATTTGGGGCAACTTTCAGTCTAAATACACCTATAATGACCGTGAGTTATATTCGGGGGAAGAAGGGTAGAAAGTGGGGAAGTGGGTCACGCAAGAATCCGGCTAGAACCCAGCGGTCCCAGACGAGGTCGCACTACAGGTAGTAACAAGGATGGCATGCAAAAATCGA